CATTAGGGTCGGCGCCCTTGTCGAGTAGCATCTTCACTGTTCTATCGTGTCCAGCGCTTGACGCAATATATAATAGATCTTGACCGAGACTGTCTCTTCTTCTCAGTGCATTTGCTCTTTCTTCTTCTTGTTCTGGGAGCATCACCTCTAACACTCGTGATAATCCAAACAGTGCGGCAAGATGTAATCCTGTGCTGTTCTGAGCATACAACTGGCTGTATCCCCAATAGACGATCTTCTTATAAAGCAAAGCCTGTGTAGTGCTTGAAACTAACTTATCATCTGAAAGAAATGAACAAGTTAGCTTACACACCTTGCCTTCGATCATTGCAGAATGCTGGCCCCAGTGCTTAGCGGCATAGTCCAAGAATTTGTTCTCTTGGATTCTCTCACCATAATCTTCATCTGATGAGCAGCTGCCTGTTTTGAACACATCAAATGATAGATAGGTGAGGCATGTTGAGACAATAGCGAACTGAGCATCTGGTTTCCATTGGTCTCCAATGCGCTCGAAGTACTCTTGGGTGGTATAGTGAACCAGTCGTATGATGTTACTGTCTTCGTCGATCGTGACCAACCCGGCGCAGAGAGATCGAAGATTATCGATGGTAGTAATGTAGTCTTCGTCCAGTTTTGTAGTGTTCGGCCTGACTGCAACGGCATGTTGGAGTTCTACAGCAGAAAGTGGCCTTTTGGCGTAAACAATCCATGCCAAAATCTGTTTCGCTAGATCTCGAGACTCGGTTCCTTGGCTTTCGATTCTTTTCATCGCCAGATCGTAAATCTTTTCTAACCCCTCCATTCCCTTCGCAAAATTCTTCAAGGCATTCTTGATATGTCCTTTTGTTGGCAGGGTTACAAGTGAGTTGATGCGTAGCTCTGCTAGTAGAAACCTGATTTTCCACGTTACTATATTCAATTCATTCTATTTTGGTGGATCGTATGACTTACATTCCATCCATTGTGCCAATCACTTCTTTTTTTATCATGTCTCTAGTGGGATTGTCTAAGATATCCGACCGTTCAAGTTGCATTCGTGCATCGAGATATACATCTACGTCGTCATCTCTCGCGCGGATCTCTATTGATGTAGCCTTCTCAAACATCTTCACAATTTCACCGTTTATCCTAGAAGTTGCAAATATACTAGCGCGGAGGTCGAAAATCGTTGATAGAAACCTCGTTCGGCAGCCATTGGATGTCTGACATTCATCAAGTGCATCGATAACGATGAATACTCTCGAGTAATTGGATACAACAGAATGGAGAGTAGTCTTTATTTCTTCGAGTGACGGACGTGTTCGGCTGCTATTGTGGCGACGATAGAGATCTTTGATGTTCTCCAATGAGGAGGGCTGGCTCTCAGCAAGCTGTTTCAGCAGACTTATCAGCAAATCGTCAACATTCTGCTCATCTTGCCGCTGAAAATTACAGTAGATGTACGCAATACCGACGCTTGGATCTTCAGAAAACCGCGTGGTGAGGTCGTGGATAACAATGGATGTGATGATTGTTTTTCCCGCTCCGGGAATGCCAGAACAGAATAGCGTCTGGTCCTCGGTCTTGAGCCAATCCTGATATTCAGCGGAGTCTAAGATCCATTGCCCAGTCCCTGGTTCTCGCCTTTTAAGAACATCGCTTTGTCGAGGACCGTAGTCGGTTGGCGTGAGCCAATTGAGGACGTCGAGATCTTCTTTTCTGTCTAGCTTGGACCTCACTGTCTTGACATCGGCCTCGGTTCTAGAGACAGTGTCATGAACTACAATTTTATTAGGATCTCACTATAAAATCCACCCAAGACCTCGAGAATAACTAACCGTCGCTCAATACATCCTTTACTGGACGCTCTCCGTCAACGTCGCTTGGCTGTAAATGTTCTAGAAGTTCCTTCGCGCATGCCGCAGCTACCGCTGCAGCATATTTCTGCCAGTCTTTGTTCTTTTCTGAGTCTGCATAATCGCAAATACCCCTGATAACAATGCAGGGGAAGTCATTCATGAGTCCTGCGGCCTCCATTTCAACGCACAACACATTTCCGTCTAGGCTCGCATTGAGACTATCACGGAACTTGGCATCCTTGATCACTTGATTACCGGATGCGATTAGGCCGTAATGCACGCGAATGTCTCCAGGTTTCTTCTGAGCCCCATCAATCTTGACCTTTGCCGTGATTTTTGTCGCTTGCTCGGCCCCACTATGCATAGGAGCCAGTGTCGACCAGCCTAAGAGGTACCCGAGAAGAGATAGTACCATCTTCCAGAATATTGAGGATATGGCCACCCAGCTGCTCAAAGCATGGGGTGAATTGTCTTGTATGAACAAAGGGTCCTTAAGGGAATCAGAGTTGGTGTACTCTGGCACCAGTTTTGGCCATTTCTTTCCCAAATCGTCCATGTATTCACGTGTTTTAGACCCATGCATCTCATGGTTGGTCTCCAGTATCGTCAATGCTGTCAGCAGTGCGCTTGGGGGATTATTTAGCGCACCAGTTCGTTTGAAATTTGTGCCCTTTTCCGCTTTACCTATATCCCACTGGACTACTCCAGGATACTGATCGGTTGGTGTGCTAATCACGACGTCGCCGAGTCTGACCTTGGGTGGAATACCGCCACCGATGCCAACCATGAGGCCGACCTTAATGAATGGGAAAGTGCTGACCATCCGGGTCGCGACGGTCGCTGCTGAATTATTGCCGTATTTGCCTTTCGGTAGGCAGGCTATTACGATGTTATGCTTATTTATGGACCCAAGAGTATATGAGTTCTGGTCGTTTGGCGGCTTGGAAAGAGTCGGGTGTATTTGGTCTAGCATAGCCTTCGCTGCGGTCTGCTCCTTAGGTAGCGCGCAGACCCACCCCACAGTGTAGTCGTTATGAGTTCTGGTTTTGGTAGGCGTCTTCATGGTTATTGTGAGGGGATCGTACTGGGTCTTTGAAAGGATGAGTGTGGACTTGGACCCTAATTGTTTGCTGTCGGTTTGTGTACAGGCTCGACAGCTACCAGTTCGATCAGAAGAAAATCGAGCGCACAGCGTCTCAAAAGGGTAAAGGAACTTATATGGAGATGTGGTTGTTTGGAGACCGAAGAGAGACTCCATCAACAAAATGAATGTCGACCTTTCAGCCTTGAGGCCTGAACATTGCTGGATGTGGTCAGTGCGTGCAACAGTTCAGCCAACGCAACACCCCACCGAAATAGGCGCCTACTTAAAAATTTAAGCTTTTAACTACTACTAAAACCTTGTTATTAGAAGATGCTTTAGTAGAGTAGTGCTATATTTATATATTAAATATGTATCCATATTACTACTATTAGATAACCTTTAATAACTTAGTGTTACAAGTAGCAAGAAGGATTCTCTCCTCGACGAAGGACGGAAGGCAAGGAGCCTATGAGCATCCACGTCAGAAGGTAATGGCATCGCGGGGCTCGAGGTCACGTGATGTGCCATCCCGCCAAGGCTGGCCATCCGGGATGGCAGT